GAGTTGGAGAATTCTCTCTTCTCCTAATTCACTATTTTCTAGAGTTATGCAAGGCAAGTATTGTCACTACAAGCCTTTCTTAAGCTGCTCGCCTCCTTCTAATGCTTCTCACGGGTGGAGAGGGATTATAGCAGGCCGAAAAGTGATGCAGAAAGGATTGGGATGGTTGGTAGGAGATGGAGAATCGGTTAAGGTTTGGGAGGACCCTTGGTTGTCGCTATCGGAGCCTTTGAGACCAATGGGACCAAGACCTTTTCATCAAGAGAATCTAAGAGTATCAGACCTCATCTCGAGAACGGAGTTAACGTGGAATTGGGATCGCATCCGCGAGATTCTGCCAATGTATGAGGAGCACATCCGCAAGTTAACTCTAGGAATCACCCGACATGCCGATTCTTTAGTGTGGCTCCCAACAAAGAACGGTATGTATTCGACCAGAAGTGGTTATGGACTCAAGACGATTGCTCCCGTTTCTCCAGCTTTTCAAGAATTTGATTGGCAAAAGAATCTCTGGAAGCTTCGGGCTCAACCAAAGATCAAAAGCTTTTTATGGAAAGCGGCGGTCGGAGCACTTCCGGTGGGAGACCAGCTGCAAAAACGGGGACTAGGAGAGAGCATTGTTTGTCCTAGATGTGGAGCACCGGAAACTATCGAACACTAACTATTCCACTACCAATGGCCCAAAGGTATTTGGACTTCAGCACCGCTGGATCCTTTGAATTAGTCCTCCATCCTCACGATGTTAGATTACCTTAAGGCTTCATGCCGAAGAGTCGTACTATCGCCTACGGGCATTACTACAGCCTTGCTTACATCTTGGATTTGTTGGAGCAATTGGACAGCAAGAAACAAACTTCTTTTTGAGGACATTACTTACTCACAAGAAGATATCATAACTAAAGCCGTCCAAGATGAAAAGGCTTGGGAAGTAGCTCAAAAAGAACTCCCATCATGGAGAAAATATATACCAGGAAACGTAGAAGATAATGGACCACGGGATTGTACAAGGTGCTTCACCGATGCAGCTTGGCGGAAGGAAAACTCGCAAGGGGGGCTTGGGTGGTGGTTCCAGCAAGAAGGCGAGGACCTAAAGGAGGAATACATGGATACAATCTCAAATGTCTCCTCAGCTTTGATAGCCGAAACATGGGCTGTCATTAAGGCTTTGCAGAAGGCTCGGGAAAAAGGCTATGAGTGCTTACATGTATGCTCGGATTCATAGGTTTTGATTAACCTTCTTCAGAAACAAGAATCGTATACGGAGATTCATAACATGCTTTTCGAGATTAGAATGTTAGCCTCCCATTTTAGGCAGTTTACATTCTCTTTTGTTTCACAGATGCCAATATATTGGCGGATTTGTTATCTAAACGAACTTTTACAGCTTTTGATTTGTCGACGGTCTCGACGTATTAATAATACTTTCATTTCTTGACCAAAAAAAAAAGAAGACTTTGAGGGATAGATAAAAAAAAAAAAAAAATTTGGGTATCTCCCATACTTAGTCTCTGAAATTTTCGTGATTGATTTTTGATGGCGTCATCTGGTTTTATAACCATGGAATCATACAGTTGTAAATCGAAAAGTTTTCAATCTTGAGAAGATGCGACTCTTGTGAGTTTTCAGAGTTTGATACACTGAACCAAGTGAAGATAGTGAATGTAGATCTTTAGGGTTTGTTAACCGTATACATTGGACCAAATTGTTTTCGAAGCCCAACTATGTTCATAATGGGTCATTGGGCCATGATAGAATACTTAGATATAAGTCCAATATGGGAGAAAGAATACACCTAAATTTGTTCGTGTATATATTATATTTGACAGCCATCATCTCAATTTTGAATCTTAATGGAAATTATATTTAATATCAAGAACGGTTACGGTTCATTTTGGTTCATTTTGGTTTTATCTCATGGTTTTTCAATTTGGTGATAAATAATATGATTGCTATTATAATTTGCTTTGAGAGTTATAGATGCTAAATATTGTAAAAGTTTAGAGTTTGGTACGCATTTTTAATACATGATAATGATAGCTGAGTTAATGATGCTTTTAAGCTTACTATAGTTCTAATGTATAAATCGATTCCTTTTGGAACTTTAGACTATTAATTTCAAATTTCAAATTACAGGCATAAATGGTTTCATATCTTTAATATAGAGCAGCAAAAAGATTGACATGTACAATAAAGCTGATTATATATAGTGCTTATTGGTTAACAAACGATTTGATCAAATTTGATAAGATGGAGTTATTTTCTAGGAAAAATTACAAAAATACCATTTTTTGTGTGTACATTTGCAAAAATACTATTTAGGGGTGTCCATTTATAAAGCCTATATCTTAAAATTCTAAACCCTAAAAAAATGTTTTAACACCTAAAACCTCCTAATCACTCAAAACTAAATTCTAATAAAACATAATTAACCCAAATATTAATAATATAAAAAAAATATAATTTTGAAAAAGTGGCATTTTTTGAAATTTCTCTATTTTCTATATAAACATATGAAGATAACTTTCTAGTTTTACCTGGTAAATTGGTCGTAGAAGAAAGCCGTTTACAAAATCTAAACATTGTAAAAGATCGAAAGAGGTATTTTTTTGTTCACGATATCGAAAGAGGTATTTAAAAACAGCATGTGTGTTAATTCTTACCTTTAATTAAATTTACTTTAATCAATAAAAATATGACAAATAAACACAAATGTTTTCCAAAGAAGTATGAAATTGTAGTCATTTGCGTATACTAATAAAAAAATTTAAAGCTTGGTTAAAAAGCTTATGTAGATGTAGAAGTCTTAATCAGGTGTGAATTTTCTTTTACAAATTATTATGAACGTGAGAAGGTAGGACATGTCTGTTATTCAACACTTTGATTCAATTTACTTTAATAAAAAAAAATATGACAAATAAAAAAATAAAAACAACAAAAATATGTTCATTAAACCAAAATGGATTACAATACAAAATCATAAGTTTCGACCTATATGATACGCGTTTTAAATATGTTTAACATAGTAAATTGGAGAAATGTAGTACAAATATGAAACTGAAAGCATCCTAGCAATGTCTTCGATGCATTCTTTTGGTCCTGCCGCTTTGCCGTTTTGTCCCTTTAATAGCAATGGCTTCATCTTCTAACTTGAGCTTTTTCCCTTTCTTGTCAGAGTTGTTACGAGTGTTTGTGCGCTCGATACTAATCCTCTGTAAATGATTATTGAGTAACAGAGGGTTTTCAGTTGCTCTTATATATTTCATTAGATAATATAAAGCTTGTACCTTCTTATTTGGCAACTTGGCTTGGCTACTAATTGGTCCGCTCATTATGCCTGACACAGAGAAAGTCTTTTCCTTTGCTTTGAAATCAAACTTTGTTAGGTTTAGCTGGAATATATATTTTTTCCCAATAAGCTCTTGTAAGCATGAAGGAAGTCCCTTTAAACTGGCATAAGTAGGAGTTGTACCCTGCCAAAGGATTTGTTTTAAATGTAGGCTACCCATTTAATACTGTTGCAAAATTCAGATGGAAAACAATAAGATACCTTAAATGTTATCAAATCTTCGGCCAACATGTTAGTCAATTTCCTTGCCTCTCTGTCAAAGATTACAAATCTTCCTTGATCTGTCTCATCATCAACAATGACTTCAAGCCGAAATCTTGTCTCATCATCAACAATGACTTCAAGCCGAAATCTGACAGAATTTTAAACGTTCCATTTTACAAACGAATGTTGGAATTAACATTTATAATAATCAATTAAAGTATTTATTCTTTACATGACCACACCGATAAAACTGGAATCGTCACAAAAGCGACAAATCAATTTATCATCCAACGGCTTGATTCTGTTGTAGCATTTTGCGCATGAGATATTGTACCAACCATTTCGAGTTATGATATCAACTATTCTGGCATAGCAGAGAAATTCTTTTTCTTTTTCCTGCAAAAATTCGACATCAGGTTGAAAGTAAAATAGGCAAATTCTGTTATTAGAAACAAAAATTAATGTAACCTGAGGTTCAGCAACATCTAAAAATGATAACATCTGCGAAATGGTCTTCAATGAGAAGTGTTCTTCATTTAACTCATGCTCTTGGAGAGAAGAAGTCTGAATATTTTCATATTGGTGCGTGAATAGATTTATGAATTACATTAGTATTATCTTCTACTCTCCCAACGGAATCAAAAACAGAGCTTTCATAATAAAGCTGAGTACATACCTAACACACTCTAGCTCTTGTGGTTCATCGTGCTGATAGAACCGAGTAGCTGGTGAAGTGTTCAAGTATAGATCTCCTACACAGATTGGAAAATAATTTGTTGGTGTACAACCATTGTATACATTCTGTTTTAACATGTAACTATAAGTACCGGCAAACATCTTAGGATTAACTGCTGTTATGACAACAGAACATTGTTTCCTCTGTCATGGAGAGGAACGATCAAAAATCAGATGTGTAACGCCCGTGAACCAAAAAGTGGATTTTTGGTTAGTGCGTCGATCGACACAGGGTGAGTGTGTCAGTCAACACACATGTTTTGGACTTGTGAGAAGTCGTGTTCTGGGCGTTACGTCGATCAACACAAAGGGTGTGTGTCGATCGACACGGGTTGATTTTGAACCGACAGGTTCGATTTTAAATTGTCCGGTTCGCGTGGTTGGTTAGGGAAAACCCTATGGGGCAGTATATAAAGGGAGCGGAAGTGTTTAGGCTGCGTTTTTGGACAGAAAACACTCAGAAATCAAAGTGGAGAGAGATGATTTTCGTGGGTTGTGAGAGAGAAGAAGAGAATGTTGTTTTGGAGACAGTTCTGGCTGTTCTAGAAGAGTAGAGGAACGAATAGACTAATCAGATCGGATGGGAGTGAAACTTCAAGGGTAAGTTCTCCACTCTCGTATCTAGCTTTGGGTGAAATCGGTTTGTCATTTGGATTAGTATTCTGAGAGTTATGGTTGTTTTTCCGAGAGAGATTCGTGCAGAATTGGATCTACGATCAGTCCACTTCGTGGGAGTTTTTCTGTCTAACCAGAAGGAATTAAGAGGCGATCTATATAGCGTTGGAAAGGTCTCGGTCTCACGATTCCAGATCATGTTTCCGATCATGATTCCGAGATACTCTCCATGCTCAGCTGTTTTCAAAGTCGGCTGGTTGTTTATGTTTTCATGAACCTTAATCCGGTTTAGGGGAAACTCCAA